GTGTGAATGCGAGAGTGAGGAGTCTGTGAGCGACTATGACTGTACAGCCTGACTGTGTGAATGCGAGAGTGAGGGATCATTGAGTGACCACATCATGTCCCCTCCAGCCCTCCACAGGCAGCAAACAACAGTTTCAACTATCTAAAAATTTGTATCTTTGAGAAGCTAACAAAGCCTGTTTTGTGTTCATTCCTGAAGCATTCTGTTCCAGTTAAAGACTGCCAAGGTTACTTCACAGCAGAATTAATTTTCCAGTGTTCCCTGTGCTTCCTCCCATGGTTAACTAGGTGGGAAAGGGCATGGGAATGGAGAGAGCTAGGACCATTGTAATGGGCTGAATGGCTTGTTTCAATGCATAGACCTGTGATTGCATGCTGCAGTGTGTATGTGTAGCCACCAGATGGGGACAGTATTCTGCAGCGTAGTAGGGCAAGTTCTGGGATATTTACTGACCAAGCCCATCTCAAACAGTTCCAGTTCCGGATCATATCTAACCTGGAGGAGTGACCTGGTGTCTACTGCCTACCTGAGCTGTAGGAAATATATTGGAAAAATACCGCACAGCAGACAGTCATGATTGGGGAAAGTCCACTGAGAGCTCACGAGTAGCTGATTGTAAGCTTTTCACACTGAGGGTTGCCTGCTCCCAACAACAAGGCCTCAGCAGCTATGTGCAACAGAACCCTTCATTCTGCAGGAGCTGGCCTTTGGAGAGAGTGTGTGAGCAGCATAAATACAGGAAGGGAACAGCCCATTCTCAAATGGTAGCAATCAGTGGAATTCCATTCATTATCATCAGTCCCTTATTGGGCAGGATGGGTACTTATTACACAATGTCCCTCCCTAATTACCCCAGAGAAAGGAGTCGCTGATGCCCACAGCCTGACTGCTCACCTGCTGGCACTGACTCCGAGAGACCAGCTCCAAAAAACAGGCAACTTTCAGGGCACAGCACGAGGGGCAGGTGAGAGCTCATCATTCACACACACACACACACACACACAGCACTGGGAAAGCCCAGCACATGTGTCTCTCACACAGACACACATACACACA